TCGCTCGAGGTCCTTTCCATGGTCCACGCCATGCAGTCATTTTCCTCCCTCCCTTCTCTCCCCGAGTACACGATTTACTGCGACTCTCACGCCGCCATCCGTCACATACAGAACAACACGTTGCCCCCTGCTCTTCAACAGGAGGTCGAGCGAGCGGCCTCTGCTCTTCAACCCTCCACTGTCTTCCTCCGCTGGGTTCCTGGGCATTCGGGTATTAACGGCAATGAGCTAGCTCATCAGCTTGCCCGCGATATATTGCACCGGGCACCGTTCATTCCCTGGCCCACACCTTCGGAAGACAGTAAGAGCTCCGCGAATAACGATGGGCAGATCTCCTTGCGTCACACTATCAAGGAGGTATATCTCCAGCTCCGGCTCGACAAGCGTCTTTACCCTCCCCCTCATACATCACTCACGGCGCTCGAGGCTCGAACTCTACGGCACATCCAAATGAACTGTTTGATAACCCCCTCTCACCTTTTCCTTTATAAATATAGGTCTAACCCCTGCTGTCCTAATTGTCCCTCCCCATACGCTGACCTGTCACACTGCCTGTTTTACTGCCCAACTGCTCAGCAATCCCGCTATTACCCTCCCCCATCCCTTTCCATCACCTCCTGGCTCGACTGGATCGGCGCCGAAGGGGAAGAAGAACAGCGTCGACTGATCGCACAGGCGGTCGAAATGCTCGGCCTATAAATTTGGCTGAATAAAAGTCTATTACTACTACTAAATAAATATAAGGTAGGGAAACTTCGAATACGCCAAACGTACCATTTGCGTGTGTATACATCCGCAGCAGCGCTGTTCGTTTATATGTTCAATAAAAGAAATGAAAAGGGTAACATCCCTATAGGTGACCAGTAAAAGAGCGAGGGATTGTGGGATACACCGTCGTTTGCTGCCGGCTTCCGGTTCTAGACAACAGTGAACCGCTTCACCGCAAACCTCAGATTATTCAGGAATCGCGCGCGTGGTCGCCCGTTTATCTTCGTCCTGATAAACCACGGTCGGTTGTTCAGCCGTTGGCTTCTGCAATTTGAGCGTGAAAGGCAAACGCAGGTATTGATTCCCATGTTATGAAGACACAAAAATGAGGTGGGCCGTGGCTGTGAAGAGAGCCACAGCGACAGTTAGCCTTTGGGTACCGAACGTTGAAGCCAGAGTGTGCGAAGACCATTTTATCACAAATACGTGTATATTCCGCACTGATAAAAAGCTTATGCATGAAGTCGCTGTGAATAACGATTGATATGTGGGGTTTAACGTCCCAAAACGACCATATGATTATAAGAGACGCCGTAGTGGAGGGCTCCGGAAATTTAGACCACCTGGGGTTCTTTAACGTGCGCCCAAATCTGAGCACACGGGCCTACAACATTTCCGCCTCCATCGGAAATGCAGCCGCTGCAGCCGGGATTCGATCCCGCCACCTGCGGGTCAGCAGCCAAGTATCTTAGCCACTAGACCACCTCGGCGGGGCTTGCTGTGAATAATATATCGAGAAATAAATTGTGATGGAGGGGCGCCTAGCGAATATATTATGGGAACGCGTGGGCGAAATCTATACCTGCCAAACCAGATAAGCGCCGACCATTGCACCATATATATGACGAAAAACGCAAAAGCTTCACTCAATTAAGAGTAAGTTCACACGAAGCGCCGAACGAGTCCATTGGCGTTTATCTGGATCAAACTGTGTGCCAGGGTGGCACACAAAGGAATAAGTACGTTAAACAAGCGTAGGGTTTCGATTATCGGCGCGTCCATGTCTGACTGCATTGTTTATGTGCCGCCGTGCCGCGCAGCTTGACCAAGATCAGCGTTCGAATAAGCATGTGGCTTTGACTAAGAAAAGCATCTTGTAGCACGCTGAAGGTTAGAAAAAAAAAAGTTATCTCAACGCGCTCAATAAGTGCTGCGTTTCATGCCGATCGACTGACGATGTCGGCCGAAGCAGCGGTCCCGAAATGAACTCTCAGCACGCTGATACGGTCATCCTCATACCCGAGATCTTCAAAAATGGTGACTTTTTATCTGCAGTAACGTTTCCTACAATGAAAACTGTTTTCTGTATCGACTGATATGCTACCTAAACTGACAGTACCTTCGAGCAGCTTAAAAGCATTGCAGAGCATTTTAGTGCATTAAAAAAGTGTTCTCACCGTTCATGGCTTTCGCAGCTTGTCATCGTCGCAGTAACGGTTAGCATGAATAAAAAACTAACTTCTAAAGCTCTGACATCGCACGGAGAGGTGTTTTTTTCAACAGAGCGGTACAAAAATGCGCGCGTGTCTCCGCTAACCCGTGTGGTGCGTCGAACCACAAGCCGTCATATCGCACAGTTCCCTGCGATTGCCCATATTACCGGTCACGTATTTGGCTGCGCCGAAACCCTTCCGCAAAATAGTTTATATGGACCACGCACTCGGACTCGCTTGTAGGACAGCAACGCCAGTATACTGTAGTCAGGTAGTCAGAGGAACTAGTATAACTGGGCAAATGCGATCGCATTATCCGTGGCGTTGTATTTCGTATCACGTGTCCGTTATACCAGGAAGTTTCCAAGTGCGCACGCGCTTCATGCGATGAATGATGAATTGCTAAAGGGCGTCTTTGTGCCCATCTTAATCTCGCGACACCTCTTAATCAACCGATGTCAGCGAGACAGGGCTGAGAAGTGAGGGTTAGATAGCGCCCTCTGGCCGCTGCCTTCGATCAATTCGCGGCCGGGAAGCTGGAAGGACGCATCATCGCAAGACGCGTCATCGCACAGCCACCAATTAGAAATGCACACGGCTGTGTGTCTTCATACATCGGTACTCACGGCGTATAATTCCATGCACATGCCAGAAGTGCGCACTTAAGATTTTTGTTTGTTGTCACGGAGTGTAAACTTGCGAAGTGCGATGCGTGGGTGGTTTCTTGGCGAAGTGACGGCATCGCTAGTGAAGAGCTAAATGGAAGTAATTTCCAAGGATACTTTCAGCAGTGAAAAGAAGCGCTGGAACCATTGTATTGTGCCTGACGGGGGATGTTGCGAAGAAAGCTAAGAATGATAGAGTAGGATAGGTAGGGAGAGGTCAACCAGTCCAGGATAACCAGTTTGCTATCCTACACGGGAGGAAGGAAGATTGAAAGAAGGAGAGGAAAGAGAGAAAAGGGACAGACAGATGACACAGCACATGCACAAGTACCTATAGTAAGAGTCCAATAATCACAATACTGTATCTGAAAGCTTGTGAAGAAGAATTACTTTATCGACTCGAGTTGGCCGGCACGCTTGGTCTTGGCAGTCTCGAGTCTATATTAAAAGTAAATGCGTCTAATGAGAAGTCTCTGGCACCATTAAATTGTGTATCATGATGACGTGGCCTAATAGAACTAGGGCTGAATCACAAAACTTCCTTTTTTTCGTGTGATACCACTGCTAATTACATGCAAAGAGCCTGAAATGAATCTTTTATTTTCCATAAAAGAAATGAATCGTAAGAGTTGAGTGTCAATATGGGTCCTGATGGATTACTGAGCGTGAGCTAACACAGTGTTCTGTGGCAATATAATGACAATGACCGAGTATGGAGAGATGACATATTATCTGTTAATGTATGCCAATATAAAACATTTCAGGGATCCAGTATAACTGCCGAGCAGCTTCTATCCCCAGAAACCAAATCAAAATTGACCTATTTATCTATTACATTATTGATTGATTGATTGATTAATAAACAGCTTGAGTGATACACCTTTTATACGCGTGCAAATGCTCAGAAGGTGAACTTACCGGTGGTGCCGACGGCAAAGATTAGGATCTCGACCAGGCATCGGCGCAAGACGTAGAAGTTGATGCCGTGCGTTGCGTGGAAGGCGAGTGCCGGCAGGAAGACGACCAGGAGCTCGGATTCGCTGAAGCTGTGCGTCGCGTCGGTTGCGATGCGCGTGAAGTCGGCCGTGAACGTGTAGCCGTACGAGCCGAGCGTCGTGAGCACAAACAGCACCAGCGTGTGCGGAAGGTGGAAGCTCTTCTCCAGGAGTTTGAGCACGCCTGAATAGATAGATAGATAGATAGATAGATAGATAGATAGATAGATAGATAGATAGATAGATAGATAGATAGATAGATAGATAGATAGATAGATAGATAGATAGACAGATAGACAGACATATAGAAGGATAGATAGATAGATAGATAGATAGATAGATAGATAGATAGACAGACAGATAGATAGATAGATAGATAGATAGATAGATAGATAGATAGATAGATAGATAGATAGATAGATAGATAGATAGATAGATAGATAGATAGATAGATAGATAGATAGATAGACAGACAGACAGACAGACAGACAGACAGATAGATAGATAGATAGATAGATAGATAGATAGATAGATAGATAGATAGATAGATAGATAGATAGATAGATAGATAGACAGATAGATAGATAGATAGATAGATAGATAGATAGATAGATAGATAGATAGATAGATAGACAGACAGACAGACAGACAGACAGATAGACAGATAGATAGATAGATAGACAGATAGATAGATAGATAGATAGATAGATAGATAGATAGATAGATAGATAGATAGATAGATAGATAGATAGATAGATAGATAGATAGATAGATAGATAGATAGATTATTGCGCGAAAACACACTTCTCAGTGGTCGAATTCGGCGACGCCCATTCCAAAACCTCATTTCGTGTGGGTCATGGCTTAAGTGCTTCTTAACCCCATTTGTTTCAGCTATTTCATCATAAGGTAGTTGATGCAGTCGCAAGATGGGGCCCTTCATGAGTCAGTTGGGACGTATGTGAAGCGAAATCTCACGACAAAACGTCCGCCGTCTGAAAAAAAAAAAAAAAAAAAAACCTCTTTGCCATTTGCTTAACCGCGGATGCGACGAGGAGCAGTCACCGCCAAGCCGCGCCACGAGATAGGCCACGCAGAGTCAACACCTCGCTCGCTGAGCTTGCTCGGTGTGGCGTGAGCCGAGTACACTGTGCGACGAAAGGCCCGCGCTTCTACCGGGAGTTCCGCAGCCAGGTTCGTGCGTTATTTTTAAATGGAAGCATTTTTTAGCGAACTTCGGCGACTTTGAGCGTATCTATCTCTCTATCTATCCAGCCGCCAACGTCTGGCTGCTCTCCTGGTCACCCCCTTAACTTCGTGTAAACCGAAATTAGCATGGGAGGGTAAGATGGTTGGACGATAATGACGCGGTGGTCTCAAGACATGAGTAATGTCACAATCACGTCACGTACATCATCAAACACTTCCCGTCAGGCAGTGGCACATACCCACAGGTGGGCATGTACCGGTGGTATGCGGGTATGTGCCACAGGTGATTCACACATAATATCTACCCAGGAACCACGACAACACGTATAGGCAATTTTAACGGGCGAGCATTAAGAAATACCCGACATCGGTAGCGTCGACCCGACGAATGCAAAAAGTAAATGTCAGGGTCCTAGCTGGAATTGAACTCAATCATTCTGCGTGGCAATGAAGCAGCTTACAACAGAGCTACGCCAGGTCTCGGAACTACTTTTCAAATATACACTAATCTTCCTGCCTACAAAATTTTATAAAAATTACATATGTACTCCTTTGATACAGCCTTCATGTCGGGTTAATTTCAATTGTGGTAAGTTGCCATGCACTAAAGTTGATTTACGTAGCAGTGTCCAGGGCCAGCATCTTCGCGAGCATCAGCGCTTCATATTAACTTCTTGTGTTGCTAATACGCATGTTCCAGTTGGCATCGTTGCGCAAGTGCAAACAACTGGTTATACAAACATCTGTAACTCTTCAATATATGCATGTGCGTACAACACTTGTACATATTTAGCGTCATTTCATGACGAGTTACTCAATTAAGAAATCGCAACACGGTCTCCTTCCCTCCGCATGCTTCGCATAACGTCGATTCCCAGGTACCCGGGATCCGCCGAAGTTTTTTTCAACAGTGGAGTCTACACGGTCTTGCAAGGCTTGTAACAGGCTGCGGTTCAACTCGCCTCTGTCTAAGCCAAGACAAGGCCTCACATCAGCCAAGAGGTACACGTCAAGCCTCCTAGGTTGTAGCGGCTGTACCAAGATCGATCAGATTCGCTGTTTGATAAACCCTACACCACTAGTGCAATTTTTTTCGCATTTTTAAACTTTCAATAAAGTAATGGCTTGATTTTTCAAATATTTGTTGTACGCTATGTATTTGTGGCTATATGTGTATACTGTATAGCTGGTTATTACATCATCGTGTCCCAAATACGGACGAAGCCACAAAGGGTTAGATAATGCCGAACATTTGTACAGCTGGTCGATACGTGGTGGGGAGGAAATAATGAAACGATTATTGAAAAAAAAAAACATGGCTTACAGGCTGTGATAAGCTCTGGTGACCAGGGAAGTAGCCAGCATTTTTTTTTCGGAGCGAGGGGAAATGGGGGGGGGGGAGTGTTTCAACCATACCTTATGTATGTTTATGCGTGCGTTTGTATGTGCGCGCGTGTAGAAGGAAGTGAAATGGAAAATTTTCGAAAGTTTGAACCCCTGATTTCCCCCCCCCCTCTTTGCTACGCCACTGCCGGAAACCATTTATATCTTCAAACATTCGCTTGCTACTCCCACCAAATTGTCGCCTTTTGGTGGTCGTCACATGGCTACGTTTACTTCACTTATTATTGACGAGCTGATTTACTTCTCGCTCAAGGCGTCACTTAATAAAGGGGGGGGGGGGAGCTGCTGGCTTATTTCTGTGAAAATGGGGGATGATGCCAACGATCCTAAAAGTTTTCTCTCAGGCCGTTGCTCACGCTATATGTTTCATGACGTGGCGGCAATGCTTGATAAAAGTCTTATGCACCTACCTGAGAGGGCGATGACCGTGAATCCGAACATGCACTGAATCGCCACTTCTTTTTCTCTGCAATAACAGACAAAAGGAAACAACAATAATAACGGATTTATCGTAGACCACCGCCATGGGGATATCGTCAATTGTTAATTGAGTGCGACAAAGGCTCAATTTTAACAGCAAACCACTAAATACCGAGGCTAAAACCCCTTCAGACGCCAGCTACGAAGAAGTGTCTGCAAATGCGTCAAATCGATACAATTTGGCTTCCAGGCACTCACAATCGTACAAAAATGACATATCTCAATATTTTAATTACGGAGAGTTGTAGTAATCCTTTTGATGGCTTTTTTTAATAAATGCCCATCTGTCGTGAAGACATTCATGCTCTGTTTTCCCACAAATAGAATGAAATCTCAGGCTAGCGCAACAGTGCGAATTGGTTTTCAGTTATGACCATGTAGAGCAAAGAAAAATTATACTTTTGATGTGGGCCATGGCAAGCGGCTCGTCGAACGACTTGTCAATTATAGTAGGGCCTTTAACAAAGTGATCATACGTGACAGCATACACTATAGAATGAGGATAAGTGAAAAGAAGTTTATTATGCTGGAGGTTCGATTCATTCAAAGCCCAACGTGTTCCTTTCAGTCTTACCCCCTAGAAAAGCAGGTGGTGCACATGATTGAGTACATGGCGTCTCAACGGGTTAAGCGCCAAAACGGGATTTATGACCTGAAGCGTATATAGTGATTGAATTCAGACTTATTTTTACCACCTGCGGTTCCCTATAGCGTCTGCCTAACTGCGGGATGCGCGGATGTCTTTTGATTTCTACATCAGATAGCCAGATAGTAACGGTATTGCTAAGCCGTATACACATCGTATACGTTCCGATCAAACAACGTGGTTATCTTCTTTCTGAAGCGTTGCGCGGCAGCACAAGTGCTGATGGCACTACCTTGGCTGTGCAATTTTAAGAGGCTCAGGCATATTTACAATATTCAATATGTAATGAAGAAGTAGTGGGTCATGCATAGCTTGGAAAACACATCGTCAGTGCTAAGCACGAGACGCTCGCCCCGTACATTGTCGCTGCCTTCGCTGGCTAGGCCTACGCTCCTACCTCGTCTGAAATAACAGCTCTGACTGTCTCAGTTCTCTATTATATTTGGTGGAGGTGCTGGGTATCGATCCCAGTACTTCTCGTCTACCGATCCCAGTTCTCTGTTATAAATCAATCAATCAATCAGGGTTTATTCAATGAACTTAATACAAAAGTGGTTACGAAGTATTTGGACCATTAGCATGTGTGGCTAGTTACTGGTCCAACCAGTAGAGGATGATGATGAGAGGATGATGATGGCAACCAGTAAGCTCTTCATAAAAAAGTGCGTGTATACTTACTGTAGGGCACGCTGTTTTACCGGATCCGACTGAAAAAGGCAATTTACGACAAATATATTTGGTGCCAATCATGTGCAGATAAACGGGAAGAAAAACAAACAAACCGCAGATCCCATCAATTATGGCAATCGATGTAATGCGAAACAGCCAGCAGGGAGCAAATCATGCTGTACATAACATGCATGTCATGGTTAACACGCTGGGACGTGTCATTTTTGTTCGTCATACAGTCCCGCCGTGAGATACCAATTTCGGTGTGTATCAATAAGCAAACGAACTGGACGCAAGTGCGCCACGAGCGTGGCATGCAAGTCATGTTGCTCATAACATGCCATAATTTCCATGTTACCAACTGTCAATTATGTTCGCATTACAGTCACGTCGTGCAATACCAAATTTGGTGTACATGAAGTTAGCGAAACAGTCGTCAGCGCACCGTGAGTGTGGCGTGTAAATCATGTTGTACATGACATGAACGTCATAATTCTCATATAACCCCCGGCCATTTATGTTGATCATGCAGAAATGTTTCATACGAATTTCTGCATTTATCGAGTAAAGAAAACGGCCGCAGATGCACCAAGGTCATGTCGTGTAAATCGTATACCGTTCATGACAAGTTCTTCAAGTTTTGTTACCGCCACGACACACTGGAAGCCAAACCGTGCCTACACCTTAGAAGATTCAGGACTGTAGTAGACCGCTTTGTTAAAACAGCGCCTCTGTACTTTATCAATGCCAGCCAGATGCGCCCGATCTAGTTGTTCATCATCCTCTCCTCTAGCCCTATTCTGCTTTCGCCCATAGCCTTGCCTTCGCGTGTGTTTTGCGGTTATAGGGAAGAGAGCCCCTGATACAGTGCATTGCGACGGGAATAATATAAAGTAACATTTTGTTCAGTTGCGTACAGTTGTGTTCAGTTGTGCCAGTGCCAGTGGGTATCGCTGTAATCCGACCTTCCGTTTACGGGCCGCAAGTTCTTCCGAATGAACAGTTTCATATTGTACCTACAATCTGCTCCTTTCGTTCACGTGACAATATCACCAATCATTCGTGTTCGTCATGTAGTCATGTTATGTCATACCAAATTTGGTAGAAATCTCATTCACGATGTGTTCTGGAGATCACAACGTCGTAGATAGATAGATAGATAGATAGATAGATAGATAGATAGATAGATAGATAGATAGATAGATAGATAGATAGATAGATAGATAGATAGATAGATAGATAGATAGATAGATAGATAGTCACGGTGACGCCGCTGCATAACTGAGGTGGTAGCGGCATTGCTTCCAGGCACAAAGAATCGGCATGAAGGGACACACCTGACAGACGTATTATATATTGGAGAGGGACACATGTCTATCCCGTCTCCGTAAAGCGCTCGGAAGCACGTGTGATGCAAGCAGTCCTGCCCCTCATGTGGCGTCGCATCACGACCGCTATATGAACGATAGGGCAGACAAATGGCTCCCGTTAAAGGTCAACTCCGGCAATTTTTCGAGGTCAGTGGATCTCAATGAAATTCACTGAGTACGTTCATTTGCGCGTTTGCTCCACTCATGCCCTATTGCAGGCCTGAGAGCTTCGCGGATTCTTTTCAAGTTAATTTTATAGCTTGCCTCGAAACGCTCACCTCGCTTGCCAGAATTAATGGTAACATTGCGTGTGTGACGTTGAGTTTTTCCTGGCGGAAGTGACGAACTGATGTGCCACTGCAGTGTCTGCTGTGGTTTGTGTGGGTATAGTGGCTAGAGGGGGTGCGGATTTGGCC